CATGTACAGCTGGTAGGAAGTGGCTGGTTGGAACCCGAGCCGGTAGGCCAGAAAGGCATAGCAGCCTTTTATAATAGTCTAAGAAAGATGGTATAGTGCAGTGGTTGGCAAACTGTGGCTCGCGAGCCACATGCGGCTCTTTGGACCCTTGAGAGTGGCTCTTCCACAAAATCCCGACTTCTGCGAATGGGCCACAAAGTTTCAATCGCACTGTACGTGCGCGCCTGCACGTGGTATTTTGTGGAAGAGCCACACTCAAGGGGCCAAAGAGCCGCATGTGGCTCGGGAGCCGCAGTTTGCCGACCACTGATATAGGGAAAGGAAACCCAAGGGACATGTCAAAGAGAATTAACTGGGCTCGCTCAGCCATCTCACCATCAGGTTTTTTTCCCTTATCAACTCTCAGTTAATACCGTCCAGGATTTTCTCGATGGGTGTTTACAACAACTCAGAACTCTGTAAGTGATCCAAGTTCAGAGAACTGTACTAGAGAGCCCTGCTTTATTTGCCTATAAATAAGTTGAATAAATATTGCCAGTGAGTTTAGTCAGGATTTGAGTGCCTAGGTGTTATGATAACAAAGAAGAGGAAACATCTAGAAAGTTCTGTTTTATAAGTCAGGAGGATAAAGTAAAAGTACAAAAGTCCATATTAAATAGACAATATTCATCACTCTCAATAAAGTACTACAATGCTTTCCAGTACTTCAATGGAAAAAGAAAAGGCTAAAGCTTTGGCATGAGCTGAAATTTGTCAGTCATGATGTTTAACCAGCAGACAAGCCTGCCTTTCTCCTAGGATCTCCTCTAAAGAAAATGCAGTCTGCCTCATGTCAAGAGGAAGAAGCCTTGAAGTGCTATTTTGTTAGCTTTTCAGAAGCAACTGAATAGAGCAGGATTAGGCTAGAGACACCAAGTTTCCCCAGATTATCATCTAATACATTTAACCACACAGAAAATAGGAAACTTAGTTGTGGTAAATGAGCCCATCAATGAGAAGCAAACATCTTCCAAGTGTATCTTCCGGGTGAAAAACCTACACACACTTCGTTCTATAAAATGGTTGATCCTGCTCAGTCTGACAGCTACTTTACAAAGGTCCAAGGCCAAGCTTTAGTCAAAGTGCAGGCAGTGGTTACTGTGTACACATTTCTATATCCAACCAAATAATTCTGAGTTCTCGATCTTTGCACATAAGTGGCTGTGACTAAATAGAGAAATGGTGGTAGACTGAGAAAAGTGAGCTCTCAAATGTCTCTTTGTAGCGTTACTGTCTCGGTTACCTATCTGCATAACACACCACCCGTGAGTGGCATAAAATAACAAACATGGCTCAATGGATAGAGATTTGGCCGGTGGACTGAAGGGTCCTGAGTTCAATTCCAGTCAAGGGCACATGCGGGTGGCAACCAATCAATGTGTCTTTCTCCTATCCATGCTTCTCTCTCTCTCTCTGTCTCCCCCCCTCCCTTCCACTCTCTCTAAAAATCAATGGAAAAATATCCTCAGGTGAGGATTAACAAAACAATAGATTAAAAAATAGAAGGGGGAAAAACAACAGCTTAATTAAAATAAATAATAAAAATAAGTGGATAAGTTAAACAATATATACAAAAAAGGCATAAGAGGGCATAGAGGGGTTAAATGGATGGAAAAAATAAAATAAAATAATGAAATGAAGAAAAAAAACTAATAAAATTTACCAACCTCTGGTAAGAGAGATTTAAACAATAAAAGCACAAATAATATCAGAAATTTTAAAAGGAAATCAGCAGAGGAAATGAATCAACATTTTCCCAAAAACATCCAAAGGGCCATCAGGTACATGAAAAGGTATTCAGCATCAGTAACCATAAGGAAAATGACAATCAAAACTACAATGAGCTACTACCCCACACCTGAGTCATTTCTTTTCAAACTCTCCCCCTCCCTTCCAACCCATACATGGAGGTCAAGGAGATACCAGAGAAAGAAGCTTGTCATTCCAGATTGGGTTTAATAAGCAAGGGATCTTACATTTAAGGCTTATCTTCCACAGCTGCTAGGTGAGGACAGTTGACCCTTGAACAACACCCGTTTGTACCTCGCAGGTCCACTTATAGATGGGTTTTGCCTCCTCAGATCAACCAACCCCTGATTGAAAACAGTATTTCAGCATTTCCAACCACAGATTCTCAACCAGGAATTCCCAACCACAGATGAAAACAGTATTTTTGATATATACTGGTTGAATCCTTGGATATGAAGGAAAAATATATTAGAAAACTTCGTTGAAATAAAAAGTAATTTAGAAATGCACCACTTACAAAAACTGATTCAATAAGTAGGAAACTTTAATAGTTTTGTAACCATTAAAGATACTGAGTCAGCACTTTAGTCTCTTGGGTTTTCTGAGATATTTTCCTTCATATGGTGCAAGAATATTTGACTATTGAATGCATATAAATTGATTTTTAAATACAATTTAATTCCAATTTAACACCAACTATTCCAGACTATAGAAAAGAGAAAAATACTCCTTGATTCTTTATGCACTTTGCACAACCTTGATTCCAAAAATTAGCCAACGTAATACAAAGAAGGAAAATTACAGTCAACCTCAATCATGACTATAGATGGAAACAAACAAACAAACAAAATATGAGCTAGCCAAGTTACCCCAGGCATACCTTAATGCACTGGGATGTTCTACTTCTTGACCTGGCTGGTGAATACATTGAGTTTTTTAAGACATTATCCTTTAAATTGAACAAATACATATTTTTAAAATGCATTTTGTACACTTTTCTGTTTTAGGCTATATTTCATAATCATCATCATCATCATCATCATTATCATCCCTCAGAGCACCTGACACACTCAGTCTTTCCCATTAAACTCATCCGTTCCTCAAAACCTCTCAAAAACCTCTACTGGGTGCTCCACGAAGCGTGGCCCACACACTAAGCAGCAGCAGCAGCAGCACATGGGAACTGGTTAAAAATGAAAATCTGGACCCTAGGCAAACCTACTGAATTAGAAATCTCTGGAGGTGGGACTCAGGAAGTTCTCCAGGTAATTTGGAGGCTCAAGTTTGGGAAGAACTGCTCTACTGATAGCCACAAGTAATAGAGGGCTTACAAGCAAGAGGTGGAATAAAACCCAAGAACTTGAGCCAGAAGCAACATGGTACCTCAAACCACACCCACTGCCTTGCCTGTAACACGTATTGCACCATGCTGAGTTTTCCTTCTCTGAGGAACCAGCTGCACCTGGACCATTCTCATTTCACAGTAAGAATATGATCATTTTTCAATGACTCACACCTGAACATATGTGTCAATTATAGGACAATGGTTCTTTAATTATAATACAAGATTCCTTCTCCTCACTGTTCACTGTGAAGCTACCCAGAGTAAGTTGCTGCTCTAGTGAAGGGAAAATAAGTTCATTCTGAATTATCCAGGGACAAGGACTCTCCTTAATTCATCAACTAATCATCCATCTGTGGGAATATCCAAAAGTTCTCCTCCTTCCTGTTCCCTCTCTTTTGTCCTCTTCAGTGTTTCCCAGAACATTTTCATTCACAGAAAAAACAACAGAAGGTCACTTTCATGTAAGTTCCTCAGTTCCTCAGGATACCTGTAAATGATTCACTGGGCATATAGAGACCAAAACAACTGGCCAAATAATATGTATTTTAACTATGAATTAAAATGCTCATTTTAACATATGAATAAAATAACCTTAAGAAAGTTAAAGAGCCATCAGTGATAGAATCAGAATAAAATTTGATTTTTACAAAATCAAAGAAAAGACAAAAGAATTAATTAATACAAGCACTTTGAAAAACTGTTTGGCTGGCAATATCTATAATAACTAAATATACCCAAAATCTGAAACATTCACTTCTAGTACACATCCAATAGAAAATATGTACAGATGATCACCAAAACCATGTACAAAAATGCCCATAGCAGCACTATAGCACTATGCATATTAGCAAAAAACTAGAATCAATCCTAATGTCCATCAACAATAAAATGTATGATAAATTGTGGTATATTCGTGGAATATGCATACTCTACAATACGGAATACTATTTAAATGAAAATGAGCAAATTACTGTTATATTTAAGAGCACAAATAAAATGTTGAGTGAAAGAGGTGTAAACTAAAGAGTATATACTATAAAATTCTGCTTTTATAAAGTTCAAAACTATTCTAAGGTGATAGAAGTTATAACGGCATCTATCTCTGAAAGAGAGACTAATAACTGGGAGGGGGTATGAAGGAGGTTTATGGGGAACTGGTAATTTCTAAATATGAAAGATGGTTCTGTAAAACTCCTCTGTATAAGTTAACCAATTTTACACTTATGATTTGGCCATTTTTCTGTTATACTTCAATTTACCGGTAAAAGGTTCCTTCAAAAAATGTTTACCTTTACAAAATAGAAGAGAGAGAGAGAGAGGGAAGGAAGAAAGCGTCACTAAAGTAGTTTCTTTGGTGCCAAACTCTCTGATTTAAGTAGTTCCTTAGGTCAAATACCAGCTTTGCCACTTATTAGAATGTGACTTTGGTTAAAACATTATTTAAATTCCTCTGTAAAATTAAGATGCAGTAATTCATTCATCCAACAAAACTATATTGAGTGCCTACTATTATAGGCAATTGGGATATAGCAATGATCAAAACGCACCAAATTCTCATCCTCATAGAGCCAATATTCTGATGAGGAAGGGAGGAAAAATGTCTCCTCTACCTACTTCATAGAATTTCTGTGAATCTTGAGAGAGGTCGGGGTAAGAACCTGCTACTCAAAATATGGTTTGTGGACCAGTAACATTAGCACCAGTTGGGGATTTGTTAGAAAGGCCAACTCAGGCCCCACACCTAGACCTACAAAATCGGTACCTCATTTTAACAAGACCTCCATATGAAAGTTTGCATATTAAAGTTTGAGAAGCACTGTGTGTATCATAAAATGCTGTCAACTGCAGGCTATTACTATTATTAATCATGTTCATCAGGAAATTTCCACAATCCTGCTTTGTAGCTGCATTCCTATTCCAGGAAATAAGGGATGTGAGGTTAAGGAAGTACATGTTTACTCCCGTCTTAGAAGCTGCTCTACCTCCAGGACATGTTGTTTTTGGAATGTTTTCCTTCTGTTTGTGCTTTAAGTCAGCCCCAATTTTCCACATCAATAAACCCCTGCACCCCACTGATGAAACTATTGATGAACTTTATTGCTGGGTTTTTCAATTGGTTCAACACCATTTCCTGGTCATTCAACAGTGAGCCCAGGAAGAGTACTTTGAAAATGTAATAAAATGCTGAACAATACAGCCCTTAGATGTGCAGAGTCTTACTGACATTTTGGAATGTCCCAGACTCATTTTGTGTCTTTCATCTCCTAGCTGTTTGGTGAGTCTTTAATCAGACTTGTTCCAACAATGCTTTGTGGAAGTGAGAGCCCAGGAAGCTGCTGACTGTCTGGTAGGGGAGGATGTTCTGAGAAGAGGGACTAATCAGGCCTTCGACACTGTCTTATTAGGCAAAAAAAACAAAAAACAAAAAACTTTGTCAAGTTGTTTCTACAGTAATGCTACTCAAAATTTAATGTGCATACAATCACCAAGAAATCATATTAAAATATAGGTTGGATTCACTAGGTCTGTGTTGGGTCTGAAGATTCTTCATTTCTAGTATATTCTCAGTTGATACCAATGCTATAGGTTCCTGGGCCACACGTTGAGTAGCAAGATTCTATCCTGCAGGAACTCAAAAGGAAAAAAGCACACACACTAATTTTGGTTATCTTCTGATAAAAACCAATGCCCAGCAAACCAAAGTAAATTGACTTCCTGATTCTTTAGAAACATAGAAATTAAAAGATTCATCTTAAAACTATAAATGTTTTAATAGTTAAATGTAGCCATTTATATAAAAACTGAAATATACTAAAATGTTAAGATTTGTGCTTTCTTCTCTTTTGTTGTTTCTAAATTTTCTAAAATAAACATTATTTAATTTTATAATATGACAACAATAAATACTAGTTTTTAAAATGTATATTTTTACTAATTTCATCATGCTAAAGCCTCTGAATGCTGGGTAAAAAGTTCTTGACTTTGCTATAAATATCAGGGAATGTCACATATGTTCAGATTCTCTGTCTCTTCTCTCCAGCTCCCACCATAAGGACAATTCTGAGGGTTACAAAGGTCACGTTGCAATGGACGCTAAATATCCAACATTACATTTTTTAAGGTAAAGATTTGCCCTTTTAGTTCTGTCATCTTAATGATGAATATGTATGTGGCTTCATTAATAGTAGATAGCCGCTACTCTCTAAGAGCCTTTTGTAATCAAAAAGTCTTAATAGAGAACTCTGGCCTTCCCAGAAGCACTTCATGAATGCCTTTGACAAATTCATGATTATCTTAAAGAAATTCAAAGACACAAGCCGGTTCATTTTCAAACTCTTGAGACAAAAAAAAAAGCAGTTAAATAGAGATTATTGTTGATGCTTTGGTCCTACTGGACTGGAGCTTATCCTCTTAACCACTGCCTTACATTAACTACCTCTAATGAGGCTTAATGCTTCCTGAGCACTTATGCACCAGGGACTGTATTAAATGCATTAGATGGATTCTCTCATTTAATAGTCACACAGCCTATTCCCCCTATTTTATAATGGGAAAACAACATTAGGGAGGTAACATAGCTTAACTCTGAATACACAGTAAGTGGCAGACAAGGCGGGAAGCCACTGATTCCAGGCACTATTGTCTCAGTGGCACTTTGTAAAAATCAATGAGCCTATCAAAAATACAGTTGGTACTGAATCATCTCACATTTATTTTCTGGTTTTCTAGGCTTGGATTTAACCCCATATTTATTCATCAGCTGTTTTCATTATGCTCATCCACTTGCCATTTTATAGCCGCCAGTTAACAATATCTTGTTCACTGGGAACATCAAAAACTCTCCTATTTTCCTAAATTAACTCTATCTGTGGCTTTTTATTATTTTCTCATTTTTAAATAAAAAATCAGAAAAGGATGTAAATTGCTGTTTCTTATCATCACCGTCATCATCATTCTACATGTTACCGGGTTTTCAGTCTTATTTTGGCTCAATTTTTCTCATTTGTGTTGTAAGTTCCTTTTGGGTAGGGACCATGTCTTTTCATTGAAAACAACAGAGCTTCAGAATAAAAGCCTGGAGGAAAAAAAAAAACAACTGTTAACAATTGTTGCTTCTGGGTTCATGGGCTTATGAGTGATATTTATCCTTTCTGTACTTTACAAAGTACTTAAAATTAGACAAAATTATTATTTTAAATCATGTTAACTTTCCCTATCTAGGATAGCATATATTGATTTCAATTAAACATCAACACTGAAAAATATCTAGGAGTAACAAAGTAAGAAACAAAATTTCTACATTAAACCCAAGGCAAGAGCTGTATGTGTTAAAGGCCTAGTGAGAGGAGGGCCACTCCCACAGGGAGAAAAGAGAAAAGTTGGAGGGAAAACATTGTAGTGACCTCACCATTGCTCCCCTGAATCCAAGTGGCCCAGGTTTCTATACCTGCAGAATGCTTTCCATAGGCTTACAGAATAAAACCTGACTGTGTAGCTGAGCTGGCATGACTTAGTGGTTGAGTGTCAGCCTATGAACCAAGAAGTCACAGTTTGATTCCCAGTCAGGGCACATGCCTAGGTTGCGGGCTCAATCCCCCATGGAGGGTGTGCAGGAAGCAGCCGATCAATGATTCTCTCTCAGCATTAATGTTTCTGTCTCTCTCATTCTCCTTTCCTCTCTGAAATCAATAAAGAGATAGTAAAAATAAAAATTTTAAAACCTGACTGGGTAAAGTACAGCATAGGGAATATAGTCAAAAATCCTAATATATAAAAACCCAGGGTCCGTAATGACCAACTGAAGGCTTGCGGAAGTTACTCCTGCAGTCAGTGCTGGGTTGCAGTGTGGGCATAGCAACCCAGCCTGACTGCCGAGGGCGGCTGCAGATCAGGCCCGGAGAGAGGCCCAGAGAGAGAGGCAGGGTCTGATCTGCAGCCTCCATGGCAGCTGTTGATCAGCTGTTGCCTCTCTCTTTCTCTCCGGGCTTCACCAGCAGCCAAACCTTTCTTTCTCTTTCTCTCCAAGCCTCTGCTGGAGCTGCTGATCAGCCCAGCCTCTCTGATCAGGCCCAGAGATAGGCCTGGAGATGCTGACTAGCATAGAAACCAGCCAATCAGAACCAAATCTGGGTGAACTGTGAGGAGCCAATGGCTGCCTAGGAAGCAGAGATTTTCACGCTGACTGGCATAGAAACCAACCAATCAGAACCAAATTGGCCGGCAGAGGAGGGCAGTTGGGGGCGAAATCAAGCTGGCAGGGAGCGCAGTTGGAGGTGAGATCAGGCCAGCAGGGGAGGGCAGTTAGGAGCAATCAGGCAGGCATAGGCAGTTAGGGGCAACCAGGATGGCAGGGGAGAGCAGTTAGAGGCAATCAGGCAGGCAGGAAGAGGCAGTTAGGGCAATCAGGCAAGCAGACACATGAGTGGTTAGGAGCCAGCAGTCCCACAGGGATCGGGCCTAAATCAGGCAGGCAGGCAGAGGCAGTTAGGGCAATAAGGCAAGCAGACACATGAGCGGTTAGGAGCCAGAAGTCCCACAGGGATCGGGCCTAAACCAGCAGTTGGACATCCCCCAAGGGGTCCCTGATTGGTGAGGTTGCAGGCTAGGCTGAGGAAACCCCCCCTCCATGCATGAATTTCATACACCGGGCCACTAGTCTTACTAATAAAAGCCTTGGTGGTCGTCACACTGTCACGCCGTTATGCCCTCACGCTATCACAATCCATCATCAAGAGGCAGCCAATGACAAGGCAGAATAGGCCCTTGACATCAGGGAGGGACAGGACCTGAGCACTTGGCGCAGAGGGTATAGGACAGGCTCCATGAGAGGGAATGCAGAGCAGAGCTGCAGTTACACTCAGCTTGAACTTCAGTTTCCTGGTGAGTGTCAGGTAGCTCTCCCTGCCTTCACCTAATTGCGAGGTTGGGACTTCAGAACATGACTCAAAAGACTGAGAGCCTCTGGGGTGGTTGGGAAGGTTGGGGGGTGGGGTGGCGAGTGAGTGGATTGGCTGGAGGCGGGGCAGCAGGGTTCCGGGATTGGCCGGATCCGAGAGGGCGGGGCCAAACTTTAAGAGGTACGAGGGGGAGTGTAAGGGAGTGTGCACTTGTGTCTGCCACCAGCCTGCCGGGTTTACTCTTGCACGGCTACTGTGGCAGTGGCAGCAGTTACTACCCAAGCCCGGATGGAGCAGAGGCCAGCAGAGCAGAAGAGCATCCCAGTATCCCAATACCAGGCAGGGTGGCCCACAGGTCATGGCCAAAGGAGAGGGCGCCAAGAGTGGCTCCTCAACGGGGCTGCTACCTATAAGCATCCTCCAAGTTGGTGAATGCCCGGCCCAGGTGAAGGTGAGAACCTGGCATCTGGGTGGAGAGCAAAGAGCAGCAGATTCTGTGGAGCGTGCAAGATGTCATAGGGCAGTGGACATGGCCCTGATGGCAGGCTAGGCCTAGGGGACCCTACACATGCATGATTTAATTATGCCCTGGGCCTCTAGTCTATATATATGAAAGGCTAAATGACCGTCTGACCATCTGACAAGTAGCTATGATGCACACTGACCACCAGGGGACAGACACTCAATGCAGGAGCTGCTGAGCTGCAGTGACTTGACAGTGGCAGTTCTTGAGTGACGCACCCAGGAACTAAAGAGGAGAGAGCCCAATTCCGGGGTGCATCACCCAAGAACTGCCCTCTCACAATCCGGGGCCTCTTGGAGGATGTCAGAGAGCTAGTTTCAGCCCAATCCCCACAGGCCAGGCCGAGGGACCCCACCTGCCAGAGGGACCCCGCTCCCTCCACAGATGCCCTTTGAGCCACAGAACCGCCCCAGGTGCAGCTGACCGAGGAAGGACCACGGGAGGTTGGCTCCAGGGAGTGTTCATCCCGTCTCGCCTAGTCCCGCCCCACCAGCCACCTTCTAATTAATTTTCTTTCAGTGTGCACGAATTTGTGCACTGGGGCACTAGTATTGTAATAACTATGCATGGTGCCAGGTGGGTACTGGAAATATCAGGGGGACCACTTTTTAAAGTATATGACTATCTAACCACTATGTTATACCCCTGAAACTAATAAAAAATAATATTGAATGTCAATTGTAATTGAAAAATCTAATTTTAAAAAACCTCACTATGTTTCACATGAGGGAGACAAGCAATATAGTAAAAACATAATTATCACCTGCCCCAGTGCATGGGGCCATTGAGAGTCCCAGAGGTACTTTTTCTAGGTAGTGTGAAGCTTCTGTAATTTTGTCTGTGATTGTTTTAATCATAGATTCTGATATAAAAAGTAATGGAGCTAATTCGTTCTGGAGAAGCCTTTTTCCTTCTATCTCAGGCAAAAAACTTAGAAGCTAAAAAGACTTGTTTTTTTAAATGAGGATTTATTTGTCTGGAATTGCTAATATTTTGAAATCAGTAGAAACCATTGCTGGCTGCTTCCTGATGCTCTCATTATTGTTGCTCCTTCTGGTGTCATCAGTTGTGAACTGGTGACACCACAGTGCATTGTCTGTGTTGTATTCATCACCCAAGTGCTCCTGAGAGGACAGGTGGTTGAGAGAATGACAGAGAAAATACTGGAATCTCTCCTAGGCATGAGTCAGAGAGGAAGTTCTAGTCTTCGTGGCCCACTGAAGGAATGCATGCTGTGCGCTGGAAGCACCCGGGGAGATCCCCAGCTGTCCTTGTCAGCACAACCCTGACAGGAAGATCAGAATGGCTGCTCCAAGATGGGGCCAGGCCACAAAACAGAAATTACAAGTGACAGAAACAAGGGAAATGGGAGAGGGCGAAGGGCTGGGGAAGACTTTGAGATGAAGTTCTCTAAAGAATGAAATCTGTACAACACCTCTGGGAGGTGGGAAGGAGGTACAATTCAACAACAGGTTTTTCTTAGTTCCTTCTGGAAATACAGGTTTTCCTCTGGGCTAGATCCTAATGAGGTAGCTCAGTGAATCCTTGAAGGACAGCCATTAAAGGCCTGATGTCATGATTTGTAGACCGATTAACCAGGTTCAAATCCCACTTCTGACAGTGATCTCAGGTAGTTATTTAACTCTCTCAGCCATGGCTTCTTGTCTGTGAAATAAATAATGGTACTGAACCCATAGAAATGCTATAAGGATTAAATGAAGAGACATTTAAAAAGTACTGTGTATGTAAAGTACACCGTGCCTGGCACACAGTAAGCCTACAAACAAATGATAGCTATCATTAATTATGTGTGTTTGTATGTGTATAAAATTGTGTGTATTCATATAAATAAACATATATACAGGGTGGGGCAAAATATGTTTACAGTTGTTTGTATGGAAAATAATACAATTATTAATAAATGATAGTACCAGAATAAACTCTGTGTTTCACATGCTCACAACTGTAAACCTACTTTTGCCCCACCCTGTATATATGCATATATACAAGGTATCTTTGGGATACCTTATTTATTTATTTTATATCTTATGGGAAAGAAAGATTTGAGAAGCACTTGGTTTTGGTTTTGGATTTATTGAAGGTGATTAAAAGGATGTGAAATATTTTATATGTCAGCTCCCCTAAGAATGAGTCCAAATAGCAAAGCACCATGACAAAGTTATTTTGTCTTCCTGGTTAATGGCTTTCCAAATTCACTGAGAGTCAGCTTAGGTAAAATGATATTTGCCTGTTTTTGAAATATGTTTTTGTTGGTTGAGTATCATCCCATGCACTGAAAGGTCACCAGTTTGATTCCGGGTTAGGGCACATATCTAGGTTGTGGGTTCAGTCTCCTGGTTGGGGTGCATGCAGGAGGCAACTGATTGGTGTTTCTCTCTCATATCGATATTTCTCTCTCTCCCTCTCCCTTCCTGTCTCTCTAAAAGTCAATAAAAATATTTTTAAAAACAGGCAGAGACTAGGAAAATATTTACATCTCAAAGGGGCAAAGAAAGAATCTACAATTGCAATTACCACCAGGTACCACCTGTTTTAGGTTAGTTCCCCACTCCGATCTATAAGAACATGTCTCCTGTCTTTTTCATGTGGACATTCCCACCATTTGAGTCATTCCCCATGTCAGACAAAGATGGGTGACAGTTTGTAAAGACCACTGTTACCATGCTGGTGTGTTTGGGGGGCAGCAATGAAATACCTGCATCTCTATTAGCCGTGCTCTTGGGGTGAGGCCCTCAGCAAAATGTTGAGATGGACAAAGGTCCTCCTCCCTTCCCCGGCCCCTCTTAACGTTTCAGACAACCTGTGCCCCCAGAATCTCTCCTTTCCTTTCTTTTCTTCCCAAAAATCTTGCTCCTGAATCTTATACAAAATGTAAAAAACTGGCTAAAAGTTTAGAGGAAGCCAGAATGTTTATACTAACTGAATCTTACACTACATGGTCTGACCAACAGTGGGTTGGAATCTTAACAGACCTTCTCCTTGATGCTGAAAGTGTGCCCTCCACAGTGAACCACAGGCAGGAAAGTACCAGTGGGGACCCAGGCTGACAGGACCAGCCCTGCAGGGGTCTGTGCCAGGCCAAGGAAAGCAGGCACTACAGTGAATGACTGGAGATGGGGGAGGATGGAGATTTTTGAGGGCTTGAGGAAAGATGTCAAAAGGATATGTTTAACCAAAGTGGGGTGATGGAAACCAATGTTTGTTTCCTCCCTCTTACTTTTGCTTATGGTGAGCTTTAGAGATGAAAAATAAGGAACCAAAAAAAAGGACCCTGCTATCCAATTCTATTCCTCAAGCATCACCTCTAGCCTTTCCTTTTGGCCTCAAAGCTATTTTGTGAGAGGAGTTTGCCATACTCCAAATATGAATACAATTGTGTCTATATCTACTCTCTCCAACAATGCCAGTCTTAATGTATGTCCCCAGAGCATTGTAAATGAATACTAGTATATATAAAGTAGAAGAAAGAGTGTTTGGTATGTTATAAGTGCTATATACATTGTAGCGATTACCTCATCATTATGGTGATGGTATTGAAGATGGTGAAGATGATGTGACGATGGTGGTGGTGATGATGATGATAATGATGGCACCACAGCACTGATTGTGAGCCATCTTTGGCAAAGGCAGAAGACAAAAGTGCCCTGGTTATAGCTGCTGGGTCAGCATCATAAAACACAGAAACTCAGTAAATTTCCAAAAAGGAAGATGTAATCATCCTGTTCATTGTGAAGACATAAGATAGAATGAGTGGTATTTTTCTAGGGACAGCCTTCCCCAAGGATTCTGGTCTTACTGCCTTGTATCAATCAACCCTGAAGGTAACTGAACCTATCCTTATTTGGGGTTACCCAGCACCACAAACAAATGCAACATCTGGATGTGGAGTGTTCCCAAATCTGGTGACATTTCCTAAGATATTTCTTAGGAGAAATTCATCAGTAACTCGGATATAAAGGAAAGTTCTGTGATATTTGAGGAATGGTCTCTCTTAACTCCTATCAGCATCCTTGAAAGTTACCAGTTAGATTTATTACATAACAACAAGAACCACCAAAAGCAGTTCTGCTTCCTGGGGAATGCCAACTTCCAAAAAAAGCAATAGAACTGTTGATATAGAGTAATTGGATGGTAAACTGACCCAGCAGGGGTGTTTTGGTGATACTTTTTTCTTAAAAGGGAACAGTGCAGTAAAGACAGTTTGTGTTTATGCATGACCTAAATCTTTCACTTCCTCTGGCAGAAAAGAAGCAGATGTTCAGTGCAGGGTTGGGGAGGGAATGGGGAAGATGAAGGAAACAAACTAAATTGTGATTCAAGTTGTTCTTTAAAACATCAGCCAGATGCTTAGTCTCTCATGTAAATGCTTAAAACTTCAACACAGAATAGTCTCTTCCTCTTCACTCATACATCAATTCTTTGTGCTCTACCTACTTCTCCAATCTTTAAAGGTGCAAAAGTAATAAAAGCAGAGTCAACAACTACACAGCCATCTTCTTAACAAATGGTGCTGGGACAATTAGATAATCACAAGAAAAAAATGAATTTAGACCCTTCATAACACAAGCAAAAATTGACTCAAAATGAATCATAGACCTACGATTCTTATTAAGTGTAAGAAATAAACCTATGAACATTCAGAAGAAAACAAGAGAAAATCTCTGTGACCTTGGATTAGACAAAGATTTCTTAAATATGATGTCGAAAGCATAACCTGTGAAACAAAGTTAATAAATTAAACTTTATCAAAATTTAAAAGTTTGTACCTCAAAAGACACCATTAAGAAAACAAAAGACGAGAAACCAAGATGGCGGCATAGGTAAACACCGGAAATTGCTGCCTTGCAAAACCACTTCAAAAATACAACTAAAAGACAAAATGGACATCATCCAGAACCACAGGAAGGCTGGCTGAGTGGAAATTCTACAACTAGAAGGAAAGAGAAAAGCTCACTGAGACTCATAGGAGGTGCGGAAGTAAAATGCAGAGGTACGGAGGCCCACGCAGAAAGGGCTGGCAACTGAGGACACGGTTGTCCTTTTCAATCAGGAGGGAGTCTCAAGCTCCCGACTGCTCTGAACTCCAGTTCCGGGCGAGTCTCTGGGGACCCAGACTCATACCGGGAGAAACTGAACTGTCTGGCATTGGTAAGAACTCGAGGGCTGCTTTCTCTCAGAGGTGCTTGCAGCAATTACCGCAGGACACTGAGACGAGGGGCCTCTTAGGGTAGGACTGAGGATCAGCCATAGCTGCTTGCTCCACCCTGTTGATCCCCTGAGACCCTGCCCCACCCAAGCTGTGTGCAGAGGCTTTTGCATATGAATGACCTGACCCTTTGCAATCTGAAAATTACCTAACAAACTGCAGCTGGGTCAGAGAGACCCAGAACTTCCAAAAGAAGGCCCAAGGCCCCACAGCAGCTTGCATTGCTTCACAGGTGGGCCTCATCTGGGCACCTCCAAACCCCAAACAAAGAAGAGGAATCTGCAGATCTCTCAGTAGCTCCTGCTGGGTAGCTGCAGGCAGAGGCTAAATTAGCACCTCCTTAGAGATCCAAGAGCCAGTGTACCCAGTGGTCAGAGTGGGACCATCCAGATTACAACTCCTCAGATGCATAAGGGACACACTCAGGGGGCAGACTCAGTGAGCACCAAATCCCCACTGAAGCAAGTCTTGCCCCAGAAGGGTGTCTCCAGCACAGAAGTTCTTCCACCATAGACACAGCTGATTCTCACAGCCAATTGGCCTGGAGGTCAATTCCTCCCAGTGATACCTACAACAATCAAGGCTTAACTACACCAAGACTGTGCACAAAGCCCACAATGGGTGTACCAAGAGTGTCCACTTCAGGTAATTGGGGAGGCTGAGCCACTGGGCCCTATAGGACACCTAGCACAGAAAGCCACTCTATCAACACAGGGAAGCAGCCAAAATGCGGAGACAAAGAAACAGGTCACAAATGACAGAAATGGAGGAAAGCAAACTACAGGATATAGAGTTCAAAACCACACTTATAAGGTTTTTCAAGAATTTTCTAGAAACTGCCAATAAATTTAGTGAGACCCTCAAGAAATCTAGTGAGACCCTCAATGATATGAAAAAGGACCAACTAGAAATTAAGCATACACTGACTGAAATAAAGAATATTATATAGAGATCCAAAAGCAGACTAGAGGATCACAAGAATCAAGTCAAAGATTTGAAATACGAAGAAGCAAAAAACACCCAACTGGAAAAACAAAAAAAATCCAAAAATATGAAGATAGTGTAAGGAGCCTCTGGGACAACTTCAAGCGTACCAGCATCCAAATTATGGGGGTGCCAGAAGAAGAGAGAGGGCAAGATATTGAAAAACTATTTGAAGAAATAATGACAGAAAACTTCCCCTACCTGGTGAAATAAATAGATTTACAAGCCCATGAAGCTCAGAGAACCCCAAACAAAAGGAATCCAAAGAGGACCACACCAAGACACATCATAATTAAAATGCCAAAAGCAAAGGACAAAGAGAGAATCTTAAAAGCAGCAAGAGAAAAAAAGTCAGTTACCTACAAGGGAGTACCCATATGACTGTCAGCTGATTTCTCAACAGAAACTATGCAGGTCAGAAGGGAGTGGCAAGAAATATTCAAAGTGATGAACAGCAAGAACCTACAACCAAGATTACTTTACCCAGCAAAGCTATCATTCAGAATTGAAGGCCAGATAAAGAGCCTCACAGATAAGGAAAAGCTAAAGGAGTTCATCACCACCAAACCAGTATTATATGAAATGCTGAAAGGTATCCTTTAAGAAGAGGAAAAAGAAGAAAAAGGTAAAGATACAAATTATGAACAACAAATATAAATCTATCAACAAGTGAATCTAAAAATCAAGTGAATAAATAATCTGATGAACAGAATAAACTGGTGAATATAATAGAATCAGGGGCATAGAAAGGGAATGGACTGACTATTCTTGGGGAGGAAAGGGGTGTGGGAGGTGCGGGAAGAGACTGGACAAAAATCATACACCTATGAATGAGGACAGTGAGGGGGGGGCGGTTAAGGACAGAGGGTGGGGTCGGAACCGGGTGGAGGGGAGCTATGGGGGGAAAAAAGAGGAACAACTGTAATAATCTGAACAATAAAGATTTAATTTTTAAAAAAAAGAAATCTGAAAAAAAAAATAGACAAGCCATGAACAAAAAATATCCTCAAATCATATATCTGATAAAGGATTTATATCCAGAATATATAAAGATTTCTTAACAATTCAATGATAAAAAGATAAATAGCCCAATTAAAAATAGACAAAGATTTGAATAAACATTACACTAAAGAAGATATATGAATGGCTAATAAGTAATTGAAAAGATACTTAACATTATTTGTCATTAGGTAAATCCAAATTAAAGTTGCAATGAGATACCACATCTCATTTACTAAAATGACTAAAACCCAAAAGGCAGACAATAGCAAGTGTTGGTAACGATACGGAATTTTTGGACTAGAACCCAGATTCTTTGTCTGCCGGAGTCGAAAAATGAATCCACGGGCAGAAGGTAGTATAGCAAAGGTGGAGATTTATTGAAGAACAAGTACAGACTCCCATGTGGGGAGAGGGAAAGAGTCCCACAGAATTGACTCCCACCAACTTCCTGTTTCCATGGTTCATAAAGGCTTCAAGTCTCTGTGTCCGGATATCCCCTCTGATTGGCCACTACAGCAACTCCTGAACTCAAAGGTCAAACACCACATGGGACATGTGAGGCCCTCCTCCCTCGTTGTTCTTTTCTTTCTGGCTTTCTTCCTTCTTCTTTATTTTGTAAATATAGACCTTTTTGGTTACTTCCAGCTCCCTTGTCTTATGTAAATGCAACTGTTGCTGCTTCCTGCACCTGGCTTCCTTGTGTTATGGAGATGTACCTTCTCCCAATCTGTAACCCTGTGTTTTTCCATGGACCCCAATTCTAAAAATTTCCTAAGCCTGCCTATATTCCCCTAAAATTCCTGTTTCAGTGAGGACATGGAGAAACTAGTACCCTCATGTACTGTTGGTAGAAATGTAAAATAGTAACATTGGGAAACAGGCAGTTTCTTAAAAAGTTAAACATGAATTAATCATTACACTCAGCGATTCTAATCCTAGATATCTACTCAAAAGAAATAAAAACATACATCCACCCAAAGATTAGCATATGAATATTCATAGCAGCATTATTCAAAATAGCCAAAACTGGAAAACAATCCAAATGCCCATCAACTGATGAATGAATGAATAAAACATGTTATATCTATACAATGGAATATTGTTTGACAGTAAAAAGAATCAAGTACTGATGTATGCTAAAACATGAACCTTGAAAACGTTATGCTCAATGAAAGAAGCCAGTGACAAAAAGCCACATATTGTATGATTCTGTTTATATGAAATGTCCAGAACAGATCTATAGAGACAGCAAGTAGATTAGTGGTTGCCTGGGGCTGGAGAAGGGCTTTTTGAGGGTTCATAAAAATATCCTAAAATTGAGTTTTGATATTTTCAAAATTCTGTAAATTTACTAAAAATAATTGAATTGTACAATTTAAATGGCTTGTTTTTATACCTCAATAAGGTGTTTAAAAAGAATATAAAAAACAAAGTCAGCAAATATCCTATCTAATAAAGAGGTAATATGCAAATTGACCATCACTCCAACACACAAGATGGCCGCCCCCATGTGGACACAAGATGGTCAGCAGGGGAGGGCAGTTGTGGGCAATCAGGCCAGCAGAGGAGGGCAGTTGGGGGGGACCAAGCCTGAAAGGGAGGGCAGTTGGGAGGGACAAGGCCTGCAGGGGAGGGCAGTTGGGGGGGAACAGGCCAGCAGGGGAGGGCAGTTGGGGTCGATTGGGCCAGCAGGGGAGTAGCTAGGTGTCAATCAGGCTGGCAGGGGAGTGGTTAAGGGGTGATTAGGATGGCAGGCAGAAGCGGTTAGGGGCAATCAGGCAGGCAGGCAGGCAGGAGAGCAGTTGGGAGCTAGCAGTCCTGGATTGTGAGAGGGATCAGGCCTAAACAGACAGTCGGACATCCCTCTAGGGGTTCCATATTGGAGAGGGTGCACACCCTCCCATGCATGAATTTCATGCACCAGGCCTCTAGTTGATATATAAAATATTAGATTAAAAAGAATATCTGAGTTTAAAACTGACCTTCCTGAGAGCCAAGTCAAAAGCAAAGAAATTTACAGGGCTATATAACTTGATTTTTGTGAGGTTTTTTTTAATGGAAGTAAGCAAAAGTCTTTAGTACAGTGGTTCTCAACCTTCCTAATGCCACAACACTTTAATACAGTTCCTCATGTTGTGGTGACCCCCAACCATAAAATTATTTTCATTGTTACATCATAACTATAATTTTGCTACTGTAAACAATTTGCAATTATATATGTGTTTTCCGATGGTCTTAGGTGACCCCTGTGAAAGGGTCGTTCAACCCCTAAAGGGGTCGCAACCCACAGGTCGAGAACCACTGCTTTAGTAAAAGACTTTATTTTTTCCTGGCTGAGGAAAAATTTTACTATGTATATCTTTTATATGTAGCAACAGCAAAGTGTTTATTGCAGTTTTACCCAAAGATAAAAAGAATCTGAGATGTTCTATACATGCTATTTTTTATAGAGGATCTCAATAAAAGTTGAAGGAATGTTGTT